CTCATCTGATACGTAACATTGCACAGATGCATATAGAAGCAAACATGGCATCCGACAGCTTCACTTACTTCACAGATGGATCAGTAGATGGTGGAGGTGGGGTCCCTCGATTGTTTCAAGCGCGGGTTGGACAAGTATATGAGTGGGATTGAGTGGTTATAGAATAGGAGCTGCCTCGAATGGGCCAATAGGCCTTCTGCAGTTACCTTTGTTCTTATGTTCTTATGTTCTTAGACCAGCAGGGACAGGAAACCGGAGCTGCAGTTAAAGCAGGAAACTCTGTAAATAGTTGGAGGCTCTCAAATGGGTGTTCGACTTTACAAACAGAGATGCTAGCCATTCAAAAGGCTTTGGAACATGCTCTTGCTGAACACCGACAACATGTTATCATACATACAGATTCGAGAACCTGTTCATTGAAACCTTGCAACAAGAACACATATGCGATAACATACTTCTGATCACAAATGTTATATCATTAATGCAAACACTCAAACGACAAGGCCGACGGGTACTTATCAACTGGGTGCCAAGTCATGTGGGAATAATAGGAAATGACATTGCAGACGAAGCTGCAAAACTTGCAACTATATAGTTGAAATGTAGACATTTACATACCAGAGAGTCTATCACAGTTGTTACATTTTTGTACAGCCACTAGTATGCGAAGCATTTCGGGCAAGTCGTTAATCCTATGTTCCCTGGAATACGACACCCCGTGAAGAATGGTTTTTACAACCCATTTTACTGTTGAATTAAACAGAGGCTACAGTTAATGATTTGCGCCCAGTAAGTCCTCTCCGGCCAGGATACGAACCAATGACAAAGCGCTCTCGGAACGCCAGGCGAGTGTCTTACCACTACACCACGGAGACTAGTGTAAAGTCTCTGTGTAAAGTCTAAATTTGCAAATGTTGCTACTCAAACCTGAATCTAAATCATTTATGTATATTATAAACAACAGAGGTCCCAGGACAGAGCCTTGAGGCACTCCACTTACAACATTTTCCCACTCTGACTTGACCCCATTTATACTCTCTGTTTCCTTTGATATTGCTATACCCTAATATTAGTATTCAATCTATTCAATTTGTATGGTATACAACGTTCCTGTGCTTTGCTTGGAATAATTTTAAATAAGTTATAGAGGACAGGTTGACTAGTTTAACAGTTACCAGGGAGGATGTTATTAAACAAAGATTAAAACTCAAACCAAACAAATCCCCAGGGCCGGATGAAGTGTTTGCCAGGGTGCTTAAAGAATGCAAAGAGGAGCTTTCCGAGCCACTGTCTAATATATTTAATAAATTATTAGAGTCAGGCAGAGTGCCAGAGTCGTGGAAGGTTGAACATAAGAAAAACATAAGAAAAAAGGTAGCTGCAGAAGGCCTATTGGCCCATTACTTACGCTCCGATTAATAAATCTCAGTGTCCTTTTTGCCTTATTACGAACATTTATGCATTGATCCTTTGGTTTTAAATTCTTACTAATCATAACATCCAGATCCCTTTCGCAATCCGACTTCGCAATCTCAACCCTCGATTGTTTCAAGCGCGGGTTGGACATGCATATGAGTGGGATTGGGTGGTTATAACTAGGAGCTGCCTCGTATGGGCCAATAGGCCTTCTGCAGTTACCTTGTTCTTATGTTCTTATTTATGTTCTAACAAGACACCTGGTGTGGTTCTCAAGCTATATCTTGCTCTAGTTAGGCCCCATTTAGATTATGCAGTTCAGTTTTGGTCGCCATATTATAGAATGGATATAAATTCACTTGGACGTAGGATGACTAAGTTAATTCCCCAAATTAGAAATCTTTCATATGAAGAAAGATTAACAAAGCTTAAGTTGCATTCACTGGAAAGGCGAAGAGTTAGGGGTGACATGATAGAGGTTTACAAGTGGATGAATGGACACAACAAAGGGGATATTAATAGGGTATTAAAAGTATCAACACAAGACAGAACACGAAACAATGGGTATAAATTGGATTAGTTTAGATTTAGGAAAGACTTGGGTAAATACTGGTTCGGTAACAGGGTTGTTGATTTGTGGGACCAATTACCGCGTAACGTGGTGGAGGTGGGGTCCCTCGATTGTTTCAAGCGCGGGTTGGACAAGTATATGAGTGGGATTGGGTAGTTATAGATAGGAGCTGCCTCGTATGGGCCAATAGGCCTTCTGCAGTTACCTTTGTTCTTATGTTCTTATGAAGATAACCTCAGAAGTCCTACTGGCCCATACGAAGCAGCTCCTATTTACATCAGCTCAATCTCCTCCATATATGTCTAACCTAAGCTTGACACAATCAAGAGATCCTACTTCTATTATGGAACAACCACTCTATCCTTTTCGGGGATGTACTTTATTATCACACACCAGATAATAACCACACACCAGAAAGTGAAGGGACGACGACGTTTCGGCCCGTCCTGGACCATTCAAAAGTCGATTGTGAGGATGGTCCAGACCAGACCGAAACGTCGTCGTCCCTTCACTTTCTAGTGTGGTTTGGTCAACATATTTCAGCCACGTTATTGTGACTCCTCGCCTGTATTATCTCATGTTGTTGTTGTTGTTGTAGATATAGCTACTCAGAATAAAATGTCCATTTAGCACGGGCTATAGTAAGCCCGTAATTGAGGTTGGTTATTCGCGATATCCTTGTTACTGTGATAGAATAAATCACAGAATTCTATCATGAGATAGAATATATCTCATGATGCACTAAAGTCATGATATAAGATGCCCTTTATTTTCTTACTTGAATTACGGGTTACTCATGTCCGTGCCGCCTCTTGGGTGGCTTTATCTTCATTAATCATCTTACTTGAGCATGAAGGAGCGTTGCGCCTCACTCTCCAGGGTACATATACCACGGAAGTGGCGTTATGCCTCTAGTGTTAAACTAACCTGTCCTTAGAAAACAGATTTACAGAGGTGTAAACAGGTTTACCGCAGTGAAGGACCGCAGTGAAGGCTCCATTTGACTTTCTTTACTGACTTCGGCGGTCTTTACTTCAACGATATCCAGGTAAGATGAGTTCAAGGCTACCCGTAATTTGAGTATTTATGGTGGGTTGTTCTATGCAGGCGAATTGTTTACGGGCTCACCATAGCCCGTGCTACATGGACACTTCGTTCTTTGTAGCTAAATCTGAAACAACAACATATGCAGGCGATGAGTCACAATAACGTGGCTGAGGTATATTGGCCAGACCACACACTAGAAAGTGAAGGGACGACGACGTTTCGGTCCGTCCTGGACCATTCACAAGTCGATTCTCAAGTGCAAATCCACAAGGGCCGTGTTGAGGGTTCGAACTTCAAACAATACTTGTTGAGGGTTCGAACTTCAAACAATACTTGTTGAGGGTTCGAACTTTATGAGAGTTTGGTCCACTAGGCTGTTGCTTGGAGCGGCCCGCAGGCCCACATACCCACCACAGCCCGGTTAGTCCGGCACTTCTTGGAGGAAACTATCTAGTTTCCTCTTGAAGATGTCCACGGTTGTTCCGGCAATATTTCTTATGCTCGCTGGGAGGACGTTGAACAACCGCGGACCTCTGATGTTTATACAGTGTTCTCTGATTGTGCCTATGGCACCTCTGCTCTTCACTGGACCTCTGATGTTTATACAGTGTTCTCTGATTGTGCCTATGGCACCTCTGCTCTTCACTGGACCTCTGATGTTTATACAGTGTTCTCTGATTGTGCCTATGGCACCTCTGCTCTTCACTGGACCTCTGATGTTTATACAGTGTTCTCTGATTGTGCCTATGGCACCTCTGCTCTTCACTGGACCGCTGATGTTTATACAGTGTTCTCTGATTGTGCCTATGGCACCTCTGCTCTTCACTGGACCGCTGATGTTTATACAGTGTTCTCTGATTGTGCCTATGGCACCTCTGCTCTTCACTGGACCTCTGATGTTTATACAGTGCTCTCTGATTGTGCCTATGGCACCTCTGCTCTTCATTGGTTCTATTCTGCATTTTCTTCCATATCGTTCACTCCAGTATGTTGTTATTTTACTGTGTAGATTTGGGACCTGTCCCTTTAACAGTATCTTCCATGTGTATATTATATGGTATCTCTCTTGTCTTCTTTCTATTGAGTACATTTGCAGAGTGGTTTCTAGGAAGAAGTATCAATTTATTTATTTATTTATTTATATACTAGAAGGTACATTGAAGTGGGTTAACAGAGAACATGGAAATTTTAGTTGAATTTACATTCTTGTAAAGCTACTGGTTAAAGTTGTAATTAGTGTTCATCTTATTGCTTGATATGAATTGAAATAAGTTTATTGAGGTAAAATACACACAAAGGGATGAGGTAGCTCAAGCTATTCTCACCCCGTTCAGTACATCGAGTTAATGCATACATAGACACACATCACAAACAATAAACATATTACCGAACATTCTGAGAGATAAACATAAATGCCTGATATGAAACTTCTGAGAACTGTAGAGCAACAATTATTATAAATAACTAATACATTTGCTACAAATTTGAACGAAAAAGTATTTTAGATTTTATAATAATAATAATTGTCTTAAAGATTACTATGTTAATAATATTTTAATTAACTGCAAAGCAGTTAATAAGAATAAATATTTAGGATTTTTTTTGTAACGCCTAGGACAAATTTTTGTCACCTTTGCTCCGGAAATTTGCACCTTTGGGATTCTGTTAAAAAACAATATAATAATTCCCCTATTTACGCATTCAATACCACGATATACAATAACATTTCCCACCTACCATACAAATAAATATATACCAATTATTTATATTATTTAGAGAAAAGAAAGATTTGAAAGAAAGATTTCTGCCCGAAACGCTGCGCGTACTAGAGGCTTTACAATATTGTAAATACTATGCTATGTATTCTCACAAACCCAATGTACCTTATTGTATATAAATAAAATAAATAAATAATAAAATAAGATTTGTGGTAGAGGAGGTTGGTACACGTGGGTGCCGAGCATGGTTGGCAGCACCAGCGAGGTTGGCAGCACTGACCCGGGAGACGCACAAGGGGCGCCATAACAAATTTCACCCTTAAACCCAATTCTCCGCTTTACAAGCCACATCTCGAGGTAAAGACGGCGTGTGGGAGCCCCAGGGGTGGCCGTGGGTGCTGGTGTGCGTGAGGGGAGGGAGGCTGGGGGACAGGAAGACAGGTAAATGAGGGTTGTTATGAGGGCGGGGGCTGGGTCCTGTGAGGCAGGAGGGACGCCATTGATGGCCGCATGTTTGAAAGATTTAGCTATAAATGTCTGGATTATCTGATGTCTGAGGCCGCGGGGGTGTTGGGGGTGATGTCTTCAGCTGGCTACATCACTGGTGGACGAGTTACATGAGGCTCGGATCTCATAACTTCCTGTTAGCCGGGATAGGACGTGTGTGTGTATATTTTATTAAATATGTTTTGGTCGATGGTGTATATATAGCCACGTATATGTCCTGAATATATAGCCACGTATATGTCCTGAATATATAGCCACGTATATATCCTGAATATATAGCCACGTATATATCTTGAATATATAGCCACGTTTATGTCCTGAATATATAGCCACGTTTATGTCCTGAATATATGGCCACGTATATATCTTGAATATATAGCCACGTATATATCTTGAATATATAGCCACGTATATATCTTGAATATATAGCCACGTATATGTCCTGAATATATAGCCACGTATATATCTTGAATATATAGCCACGTATATATCTTGAATATATAGCCACGTATATATCTTGAATATATAGCCACGTATATATCTTGAATATATATCCAGGTATATATATTGAATATATAGTCATGTATATATCCTGAACTCAATTACGGGCTCACCATAGCCCGTGCTACTTGGACATTTCGTTCTAAGAAGCTGAATCTAAAACAACAACAACAACGTTGTATATATTTATTTTTATTTATATATACAATAATTCCTACAATTTTGTACAGCCACTATAGCAAATGTAGAGTTTCTGTCCTTAATCCTTCCCCGGAATACGACCCGCCAAATGGTTTTAACAACCGTGTACCCATTTTACTGTTGTGTGAACTGAGGCTACAGTTAAGGATTTTAATCCTCCCCGGCCTGGGTACGAAGCCAGGACAAAGCGCTCGCAAAATGCTAGGCTATACTGTCTTGATTCTTGAGTTATCTTGAGATGATTTCGGGGCTTTAGTGTCCCCGCGGCCCGGTCCTCGACCAGGCCTCCACCCCCAGGAAGCAGCCCGTGACAGCTGACTAACACCCAGGTACCTATTTTACTGTTAGGTAACAGGGGCATAGGGTGAAAGAAACTCTGCCCTTTGTTTCTCGCCGGCGCCCGGGATCGAACCCGGGACCACAGGATCACAGGTCCTATCCGCTCGGCTGACCGACTCCCCAGCTCGTAGTGTCTTACCACTACGCCACATGGAACTGCTGTACATTAGGCTGCATACATCTAGCTGATCCTAAGGAGGATCCAACTCCCCCATAAGTTCCCTAGCTTCCTATTAACTGCTAGGTGGCAATTGGCGAAACTAAAAGCGCTTGGCCAAACCCAGGATCTGCGATTGTGATGGGGATGGTGCCACATCATTGTCATGGCCTCGTCGTAGTGCCTTTTGATACATGCTTCACTTCCTGGCTGGTGCTGTGCAACCATTATTTTGGTGCCATTTTATTGTTTACAAGAAAGTACAATGGGTTCGTGAGATGACATAAGAATGGAATTTTTACATACCATACTACACTAACAAACAGCATTTTAGGCAGTATTTCTGTATAGTTTTGCCTTAAAAAAGCAGCTTTTGTTGTAGGGCCTGTGTGTACAGTTGGAGCATTAGTGACCCTAAGGTGCAACTGTCAACACTTGCCTAATTGTATATAATATAGTATAATTGCATAGTATATGCATATAAAGTCCAAAACCATGGTGCTCCCCACCTGCAGCCAAGCCGAAAGCAGGCTGAACTTTTCTAATTTATGATGCACCCATGCGTCATTCCTGCACATTAATCTAATAAATTAACGCCATACTGTGTCTTGCCCGTGCCATCGTGTTAATTGGGTACCTGGCTAACTAGTTGACAGGTCGTGTTCAACGGGATATTTAAATTGGGACATTTAAATTGTCCAGGGACAATTAGGTTTTCCTATGAGCTATGTTTTTCTTTCCTTTGAGCTCTGGAAAGGGAAGGCTTTTTGAGAAGCCTAACTCCTGTTAACAGGAGTTGCCTGTTCTTGTACTGGCCGGTGTAAAAAGAAAGTGTACTGTCTAATCCTCTATTCCTTTATTCATGTACAAATTCAACATACATGTTATATTTTTTATAACTTGTACATCATTTCATATCAGGTTATTCAATAGATTATTCATTTATCAGCTGTTCAATAGATGAAAACTATAGACCTGTAATTTCTTTATCATGACAATGTTTTGATTGAAAAGTGTTTGATTTTGAACATATTTTGAGAAACATTTCATTAGCCTTAGTTTTAGTTAACTGAATTTTCTAACTAGAGTTTATGTAATTGCAATTTTAACATTTTTACTCCTTAAAAGTTCATTTTTTTTTTTTTTGTCTTTAGATAGGCTGGCATGTAAATTTTACCATAGAATGTTGAATTCTCTGACCCTCGTCTTAGTAATTACCTAAGCGTAGTTACAGGATGAGAGCTACGCTCGTGGTGCCCCCGTCTCCCCAGTACTCTTTGTCATATAACGCTTTGAAACTACTGACGGTCTTGGCTTCTGTATTTTTGGGCAACGATTATTACAATGACTTTTCTTTTTCAGATGTCTGTCGGCAAGATTATTCTGAAATCGACAACAAGGATGTCCCTGAATGACCGGTGAGCCTATGAGTCGTGGCTAAAGCATTTGGTTATTGGCCCCTCCTTAACTCAAGTGGCAGTTCTGTACAACTTAGAAGTGAATTTCAGGACCCCATTCCTCCAATTTTCCTCAAACCCATAATTCACTAGCCAATCAGCTTATAAAAGAAAGCTAATGGCAAGAGAATTTTACCAGAGTACACAAATGGCCCAGTCAATAAGCTTTATTATACTCTTTTTAATTACTCATACTTTATTTCCTATAGGCCTGTTATAAAATTATAAAAGCCTGTTATTATTGTAGTTTTATGTAGTTGTAATAGGCCTGTTTTACTGCACTACTTATGAAAGAAAGTGTGCAGCATAGCAGATTGCTGAAAGGAAATTTGATTTGTGCAGTGGGTCCTTGTCATGCTTATAAAAGAAAGCTGAAGGTCCCTTTGCCTTATTTTTGTATATGGACAATACTAGTTTTGAAACTGCATATAGCCACAGTAATGGGGAAAGTGCTACTACAGTTCACATTATACATTGGTATGGATTATTTACTCAAGACTGAGCTATCAAAAAAGTTACTAGGTGACATTACGTGACAGTAATTCAGTTATTCAAAGTTAATTTGAATGGAATTCAATAAATTTAATTTGAAGAATCCCAGATGTGATTTTGCTCATGGCAAAATGGGATTTCATATTATTAGCATAAACACCCTAGACACTGGCAGTGATTTTGGTGCAGGGCTCTCAAGAGTTAGTGAAGAGACTATCTCGTTCTCTCCTGGGTGTGCGTCGGGGCGCAAGGCATCCAGGGAGGAGAGTTTACACCCCTCCACCATCAGGGCTCTGTTGGGGGAGCCGGTGGATTGTATTCAGTCGAGTTGGATACTAGCTGCATCGTGTATTGGGTTTGCTAGTTAACCAGGTACCATTAAGTACCCAGATATATTTTATCCAGATGGGAGCCCTTTCAAAATTGCAAGATATTTAATTTTTGGCATGAACTGCAGATGGTTTTTTTGAGCCTTAAATAGAGCTTCAGAAAACTGAATATGGTAGCAAACCTAACATAGAAGGTTTAAATAAGGCTACAAAAACAAAATGGAGCTTAAAATAAACAGAATTAACATGGACAGTTAATAAGACGACTTTGTAACAACAAGATTCTGCAGCAGCAAATGCCATGGAAGAGGAAGTATTATTGAAGACTTCAGGATTCCTTCAAGATTTACCAAGGAGCAATGTTCCAAGTACTGCATCTAATTTAAATTATTAAATGTGACATACAAATTATTTTATTTTGAGGATTTTTCAAAGACTTAATTTTTTTTATTTTACAGATGTTTTGAAAGGTAAACATGTATACTTTTTTTATTTAGGTATAGTAAAGGTTCACATTTTTTATGAATGATTTGTATGATTGGAATGTACTGATAAAAAGCACAATTCTGGATGAAGTTTCAAAAGACTGAAACTAGATTCATTTTAGTTATAAAACATGAGGGCCTTCCATCATGTCACTTAGTTTCAGGTACTTTAAGGTATTCTGTCTATTGTCTCCTGTTCTCAAATTTCCAAATTTTATTTTTATTGTTAGTGTTGTGATCTCTTTTGTTCATAACACAATGTAGGACTTTTAATTAGCCGAGTCATTTAAGGGTTAAATATGTTTGCATTGGGGTCTTGATGTTCTTACATAAGTATTACATAATACATAATTAAAAGTGTTAATTTTGTTTATAAAATTGCTTCTCCATATTAACTGTGTGTGAATTGCAACCAGGCTGTGATTCATACATCAGTCTGTGAGCAGCTGTGTGTGCAACAGCCTGGTTGATCTGGTCAACCAGGCTGTGATTCATACATCAGTCTGTGAGCAGCTGTGTGTGCAACAGCCTGGTTGATCTGGTCAACCAGGCTGTGATTCATACATCAGTCTGTGAGCAGCTGTGTGTGCAACAGCCTGGTTGATCTGGTCAACCAGGCTGTGATTCATACATCAGTCTGTGAGCAGCTGTGTGTGCAACAGCCTGGTTGATCTGGTCAACCAGGTTAAGAGACCGGGCTGCAAGGACCGTGATCCCCGGAATCAATGCAAAGTAACCACAATGCAACATTTGAGAATTTCCTGATTATTGAACTTAAAATAGACATAGACTTTCATATACAAATTTAGATGCAAGGCTCGTGTAAGCATTTAATATATTGTATTTTGGATGAGACGCTAGGCAAATCATCCAGGTATGACTGACATTTAGGTATTTGGCCTGAAAATCTGGTAGACTTGTCCAGATTGGTTTGTTCACTGCGCCCCATTGTGACATTCTTACTGAGGCTCGACCCCATTGTGATATTGTTGCTGAACCTCGACCCCATTTTGACATTCTTACCGAAGCTTGACCCTATTGTGGCTTTCTTGTCGACGCTCGACTCCATTGTGACATTCTAAACAAAGCTTGACCCCGTTGTGACATTCTTAACGAAGATCGACCCCGTTGTGACATTCTTAACGAAGATCGACCCCGTTGTGACATTCTTAACGAAGCTCGACCCCATTGTGACATTCTTAACGAAGCTCGACCCCATTGTGACATTCTTAACGAAGCTCGACCCCATTGTGACATTCTTAACGAAGCTCGACCCCATTGTGACATTCTTAACGAAGCTCAACCCCCATTGTGACATTCTTAACGAACCTTGACCCCATTGTGACATTCTTAACGAACCTCGACCCCATTGTGACATTCTTACCTAAACTCGACCCCATTGTGACATTCTTAACGAAGATCGTCCCCATTGTGATATTCTTACCTAAACTCGACCCCATTGTGACATTCTTACCGAAGCTCAACCCCCTTAAAATATGATTGATTTGATTTGTGCAGTGGGGCCAGACTAGTTCTTCTATTATGGCACATCTCCCATTAAACCTAGTTTGTTCAGTATCTCTAAATTTGAAAAAAAGCCAGTGTGGATGCATGATAATTTTAACTACAAATCCCACGCTTGACACAACCTATTGTGGGTATTGGCCAATGTTGTCTACAGCATGTATGACAAACTGAGGGTCCCTCGAGGAACCCTCAGTTTGTCATAGTTACCAAAGCTGCGTACAGACTCGATATTGGAAATGTTTTTCAGCTCTTTGCACTTAGGAAAATGTGTGCAATTTTTCTAACAAACCCAAGCATGTTTGACATGCCTAGTCTACAGTGTCTTATGTGAACAATAAATGGTTTCATGGCTTGTAGCATTTGGCAAATTGCATCATGGTAGTGATTGAAGTATATATAGCATGTCGGTCTTTAACGTGAATTGCCAGAGGCGATTTAACATTCAATTTGGCACTGTAGAAGTAGATTATACTGTAGTCTTTTATTTTATCTTAACTCCTCCTCCTCTCCAAGCAATGTAAAATCAGATTTGTCTGATTTTTTGGGGGATGTTAATGTTGGTTCTATGAAAGTAAAGCATGATGTCATCCATAAATATGGAGGAGGGGGAGTACATATCATGTCCTAGGATTGCATTGTCAAATTGCTTCAGGTGACTCGACTAGAATGTGGCAAGGGAAAGTGATTCAATAGCCTGCCAGTGGCAAGATGGTGAAGTTGTTATATGGAGATTTTTTTCCCCCCAATTTAATAGTCAATGGGGTGTGAGTTGGATAATTTACCACAAAGTGGTCCGATGCCATAGTTATTGGCAAAGGCTTTAACCACAGTAAACTGAGAAACCAATGAGTATTTTCTTCTGTAACTTTATCGAGATAAATTTGTCTACCACTTTTGTCCCCATCCTTTAATGAAGCTTGTCTTGTTCATTCTTGGCTAAATAGGTAAATAATTTACATTAACCCTTGAGACTGCACAATACATTCATATATATATATATATTTATGATTTGACAAAATAATTTAACAAGTTTTTAAAACTTACACAAACACTATAATTTTTTGCATAATGAACTAGGCAAATGCTCCAACTTTGTCTAAATGATAACAGCATAACTTGAAAAACAAGAGAATCAAAATTGATTTTAAAATTGAATGTTGAAAACTTCAGATTTTCATTTCAGAATAACAAATATGAACTACCACCAATTGTTCATTTAATGTTATTATTCTCTCAGAATAGCATATGATCTTTATTTTCATCAAGTTAGAATATAGGTTTTCAGTACAGTATAGTTTACTGTAAAAAAAAAATCGTCAATAACGCATTTGAAATATGCGGCACATTTAGACCAAAAAAAATTACAAGTCCAAATATATAAAGTTTATGAAAAATCCATTCTGAAGGGATTGTAGAACAAACAACTCAGAATACAATATGTCGAAATAGTGAGAATCGGTCAAAAACTGGAAATTGTAGAAGCCACTCAAAGTTGAAACTTTGAACTGAAAGTTTCAGAGATAATTGAAGTTGAAGTTATCAACAATGAGTATAGATAGTTTTAATTCATTAATTTAATTGTATGTTTTAATAAACATAGTTTGGCATTCGTACTCGAATATGTGAAAGTTGTAGCTCAATTTGTGTTGAAATGAAATAAAGAAAAAATAAAAAAAAAAAATATAGGGATAATAATTATAATGATTTAGGAGAAATATTTAGGGTGTACTTTATAAGTGAAAAAGCCCTAACATGGTCCCTAATCATCAAAGCAACCTAAAGAGATGAAGAAAATAGTTTGAAATAAGATAAAAAATTAAGTCCCAAGTTTTGCTAATTGACTGATTTATTTATTGACCAATTTCATTCTATCATGATATAGTTATGCAGACATATGCATTCTCCAGGATGTAGAGTTACAATCAAATCAGATAATAAAACAAATGAAAACTTAAAATCTTAAAAAAAAAATGCCCCTAAAAAAATATTTTTGGGACATTGTTGAAAGTAACATATATTTACATTGGCCAATGTATTTATATGATGTATAACACCATAGTTATTCATTGTTTTTTTTGTTATGTATTACTACTTGTGTGTATTATGTTATTACTGTATTACTCAGCAATGATATAAAGGCACCAACTTTGTGGTGTATAATACACTTTGTGGATACTTCTTACTATTATTATTCTTTGAGCGTCGGACAGGTGCTTGCATCTCTTCTTATCAATAAAACGTTCTTATTTTTCAAAAATTCGTCTAAAATCAATTTCTGAAAATATTTTGATGAAAGTTTCTCGACAAGTTTCTGAAGTCATTATGTTGGAGATTTGTTACATTTTTAAGTTATTTTTACATAATTTGAATATTTCTAGCTAATAGACCCATAATATGCGCGGTCTAAGGGTTAACATTTTTTTGGCTGTGTGTTCCTGTATGTTTTGTAATAGAAAAACACTTTTGTAATATTGGTAGACTTTTGATAGTATTAATTGCTGATACATCAAGAAAAGGCCAATTCAAAATATGGATCAAAATTCAGATCAAGTTTTTTCATCTTACTGTTGAGTTAATTTAGAGGTGAAGCATAATTGTATGGTCTTAGATTGCTTTTCAGAATTAAGTCGTCACAAATTACAAATGTCAAGTATTGCGTCTCCAAAGTACTGTACAGAGTCAATATAATATTGTGCCTATTACAATGAAGGCTGTTGGAAAGAGGCTCACATTAGTCTGCATTGAAAGGGCTCCATTATCTGAACTTGTCACCAAGAAAGACAAATAATGTCCACACGGTAACTTCCCCAATGGAATAAAAAGTCGCTATCTGGGTATTTTGTACACGTAGTTGTTTATGTATGGGTAATATGGCACCTGTGGCTGGGTTTGTTGTAATGGGGGCTGCAAGAGTGAGTTGAGACCCGGCCCATGCCGTGCATATTTGGGGGATGATGGCACTGTCCCTGACAAAGGGCTCTGAAGAAATCCCAAGAGCAAGTCTGGAAGAAGATGATATGCTCAGCTGTGGGTTGGCTCATGACTTGAAAATGACCACAAGACTGGTCCCACTGCAGATTCACGGTGCTGCGTCAGGAGAAGCCTATGGGTCAAGGCCAGGCAGCCCCGGGTATAGAGGAGAGACGGCAGGCGGCTCAATCATCCCGGCGGAATCAACGGTTGGCAGCACAGATGGAGCGTCGACCTGCGGTTGTAGCTGCTTTGAAATTAAAGAAGGTAAGTGTTGGTTTCCAATTGTGTTCATAGTTTAGGAATCATTCAAACTGCTTAAATGCATTATAATTTTGTTCTGTATTCATAGCAAGATATTAATTTTTTCATTCATTTTTTATTTCTGTGCCTATAGAAACTATTCATAGCAAGATTTTAGATAAAAATTCTCTTTTATTATATGGAGTGACACATTGCATTGGTAATAGTTCAGTTAAAAGTAGAAGTAAATTTTAACTAGCAAGATTTTTTTTGCTATTTTCCCATGCATTTATTTTTCATCTCTCTTACATTGTGTTAACCACTCACTTCATTTACAGAGCCAAGCAAGTGTTTTAAATTATTTTTTACAGAACTATTAACCTTGTGTTGGTTCTAGGGATCACTGTTCCTATGGTGGTCTGATCAAGCAGGGTGTTGGATGCTGCTGCTGCTGTTGACATGATTCATAGCCTAGAAAAGTGTTTTAAAAGTTCTCTTGAAATCTGTTTAAGGTAGCTAGTCAAACTAACACTCCCGTGATCCCTTAATGTTGATGTAATGTGAAAGATTTAGGAGTGTTTATCAGAAGACTTTTAAAGAACTATAATGGTACATCAGCTTACAAATTTAATCTGTTCCCAGAGACTGTTAGTAAGCTGAGAATTTGCATCCCAAAATTTGCATCACATTATTTCTTATTTCACATAAGAAATAATGTGAATTATTTTAATCTGTTAAATTAATCTGTTCCACACTCAAAAATATTAGCTTCAAAAAAATTTGATGCCTAATTCACCCTAATCTTAGTGCTACAAATTATTGCTTACCTTTATTGATGGCGTATGGAAGACAGTACTCGCGTAGTTGTACTCATTGCGGGGTTGAGCTTTGCTCTTTGGTCCCACCTCTCATTTGTCAATCAACTGGTGTACAGATTCCCAATTCTACTGGGCTCTATTGTATCTACATTTGAGACTATGGAGTCCTCCACTACATGACTTCCTAGTGCATTCCATCTGTTAACTACTCTGACACTGAAAAAATTCTTTCTAATGTGTCTGTGCCTCATTTGGGTACCGAGTTTCCACCTGTGTCCCTTTGTTCGTGTTCCATCCGTGCTAAGGAGTTTGTCTTTGTCCACCCTGTCAATTCCCCTGAGAATTTTGTAGGTAGTCATGTCTCTCCTTACTCTACTGTTTTTCAGGGATGTGAGGTTCAGCACCTTTAGCCTTTCCTCATAGCTTATACCTCTCTGTTATGTCTTGATTCTTCTCATAATTTTTGCATCGGCAAACATTGAGAGTAATGAGTCTATACCCTCTTGAATATTGTTTATATATTTGAAATAGGAGTGATTTTTGCTTTGAATTTTCCCCATAAGAACTCTACCTGTAACTCCAAATTGGGAAATTTATCAGGAAAGCCGAAGCTTTCCCAGCGACAAATGGCCAAAATTTAACAGGAAACATAGCACCCTAAAGACGAATGTCAAAATTTACCTGGAAACCCAACACCCTATGAGTAACTGGAAAATATACCTAGAAACCCAACAGTCTGAGTGACTGGAAAAAAATTATATGGAAGCCCGACACTAAACACGAATGTCAAAATTTATCAGGAAACCCGACAGTCCAGCAGTGACTGAAACCTGACAGTCTAAAGCGGAATGGAATTTTTGGGAGCCATTCCTCGCTGGGGTGTCATCCCTACTACTGTCTACCTAACTACCAACCCTAACATACTCCTTTTGCTGTTATTACACTATGTACTTAAGTTATACACAAGTATCGACATTTGTGTTCATAGCGAACCACTAAGCTGGTATAGTGAGTCCAGATAGTAAAAAGTGGTCACACAGAGTCAGCAGACAACGCTGCTTCTCCACACCAAGATTACTGCTCCCACTACAGTGCTAATTATCACCACAATCCTGCTATTATCAGAATCCTGGTCATTTTTATCAGTCAGGGATCTTCTGTAATATCATCTCTAAATAATAGCATGTACATATATATTTTGACATTTTTTACCCCCTCCCCGCTCAGCTCGTTGTCGCCGTCTGGGGGCTTAGTGGGCGGCTGCCGGAGTGTGATGCTCCTTGGGACAGTCCTCTGTCCTTTTCTAGCCTTGTGCTCCTGCTGCCGTCCTCTCCAATTCTGCTGGGCATCTTTTCCTTTTCCTTCTGTTTCGTTTTTCTCCCCCTCTTCTCCTATCTGCTTGCCGTTTCCTGCCGACCTTTTGCTCGTTCTGGTTCTTCCCTTGGACTTCTTCTGCTTTGACGCCCGGGTGCTTGAGGAGGCATACTCTTGCACCCGTAGAACTGCGGTACCCGACGTCGAGAGCGAGGGGAACCTTTTATTGTCAATCCCCACTTCGTCACTGAACCCGATCTCGACGGACTGTCGGTTTCTTAAGGTGGCGTTTGTGGGGCGTATACTCACGACGCACCCCTAGGAGGCCCCGACAAGATCGGCGATAGCTTCTTGTTGGGTGTCCTGCCTCTAATTGTGGCTCCATGGTGGGTGTGGGGGCACATTCGTGAGTGAATTCGTAATTTCGTCAAGATGATAACCCCTGTTTCGGCTGTTTCTGGCTTACCTTTTCAGGCTCGTGGGGTGGGCGACCAAGCCCCCGAGTCGGTCCGTATTGGAAGACCGGGCTCTGTAGCCTCCGCTGCATTGGGCCCCGACCTTGCTCCTCCTTTGGCCTCTCTGACTCCTTCCCCTGGCTCCCCTCCCTCCTCTGTGGTTGGGTCGAGCCCCAAGCCCCCAGTGGTGACTACCTCGTCCCCTGGCGCGGCTCCTTCTCTAGTTGTTACTACTGCGCCTTTTAACCCCTCTCTCTCTGGGGGTTCTCACCGCCGTTCTCGTCACGGCCGCCCTCGCTCGATTCCTTCCAGTTCTGCTACCTATCAAGCCTTGTTTGGTCCCGCTTCGTGGGCCAAATATTTTGATCTCCTCCCTCTTGATTCTGCGCCTCCTGACGATTTCTCCCTTCATCGACATCTCATTGATTCCGTGGATGCCTCCATTACTTTTAACCCCACTCGTCTCGGTACGCGTGTCGTTGCTGCTCCTTCTCAGGATGCTGCTTCCCGCTTGGCTGCCTTATCCTGCCTTGGCGAGACCCCCGTTCGGGTCTCGAAGAACGTCCAGTTGAATGCCAGTGTTGGCACTATTTTGCTCCCGCCCCATGTTGCGACCGGTGTTCGGGACCTACGCGACTGCCACGACGATATTCGACATATCCTCGCTGCCCAGGGCCATTCTATTCTCCAGGTGGACACGTTTACTCGTCCCCCTCGTGGTAGTCGCCGTCAACCCCTCCGGGTTGTGAAGATTACCTTTGATGGTAGGACCCTTCCACCCTGTCATTCTTGCTGGTGCCAGGTGCTCTGTCCAGGAGTACATTCCTTCTCCTCGGCTCTGCAACAAGTGCTGGAGGTTTGGGCATGGTGCCCTCCGCTGCTCCGGGACTGTCTCTCTCTGTCCTTTGTGTGGTGGCGAAGGTCACTCTAAGTCGGAGTGCGCTTCTCCCCAGGCTCGTTGCCTCAACTGCGGTGAGGCCCATCCTACCTTCTCCCGTGCGTGTGTCCATTACAAGCTTGAGGCAGCCGTCCTCAACTTGAAGCACCGGGAGCGTTTATCTTTTCCTGAGGCGAGGCGCCAGGTTCGCCGGCTCCCGCCTTATGCTAATATCTCTTATGCTCGCGTGTTGCGCTCTTCCTCTCCTCGTCCTTCCCGCCTTCCTCAGACTCACAACCGTTTCCAGGCCTTGGACCCTGATGCGCCCACTGCCCCCTCCTCTGTCCCTTTGGGTTCTCTCCCGAAGGATCCTCCTCCTGGTCCTCTGTCTGGGGTTCCCCTTCCTTCTACCCGGTCTGTCGTGTCTTCTGTGTCTCCTTCCTCGTCCCCCTCCGATCCTCCTTCCCATCCTCTTCCTCCATCTATCGGCTCTCCCCGCCGCCTGTCGGTGCGGGCGGATGTCCATCGCTCTCCTAACGGCCGTCGTGTGTGCTCTCGTTCGGCTTCTCCTGTTGAGACACTGGAATCCGTTGCCCGGTACGTAGTTGCTGGGACACCGGTCTCTTTAAGTCAGAAGCGTAAGCCTGGCTCCTCTCCTTCCTCTTCCCCGGCGGGTAAGAAGGCTTCGCTTTCTTCCTCAGCTCCTCCTTCTGGCTCTGTTGCTCCTTCCACTCCCGTTTCAGTGCTTGCGCCCCCTGTTCCTGCTATGGAGGTTTCTTTGGCCCCTGCTTCCCTTTCAGTTGCTGCTCTTGCTGGGGTGCGCTCCTCTCTTTCTACTCCCCCTCTTCCTGCTGCTGTCCTTGACTGCTCCTCTCCGTTGTCTCCTCCTCCTCCGGACCCTGCCCGCCCACCTCTGATCTGTTCTCCCGTTTCCTTCCCTCCGTCTTTGCTCAGTTTACCCATGCCCCCTAACCCTGACTTTGCTGACCCTGATCCCGACCCTGATATTCTTTAACGTGCTCTGTTGGTCTTTCGCCTTTGTTTCTTCCTTGTTCTCTGTTTTTGTCCTTTCTCTTCTCGTCGTTGTCCATTCTTCAATGGAACGTTCGAGGTTATTACGCCAATTTCCTCGAACTCCAACTTCTGGTTTCGCGGTTTTCGCCCCTTTGTGTCTGTCTCCAGGAGCCGATGCTTGGTGCTCGTCCTGGTCGTTTTCGTGGCTATTCCTTTCTCTCCCCCCCCCCCCAGCCATTGCTGGGGCTTCTAATTCTTCTGCTCTCTTGATTCGGGCTGATGTTCCCTTTGTTCCTTTACTTTTTCCTTCGCCTCTCCATTGTTCTGCTGCTCGTATCTTTGTGGGGAAATGGTACACAGTTTGTTCCATTTATCTCCCCCGGGTGTCCCGCTCTCTCTTCCTGATTTGAAACACCTCCTAGACTCCTTGCCAGAGCCTGTGCTCCTGCTGGGTGACTTCAATTGTCGTCATTCTCTTTGGGGTGACGTTCTGACGAATACCCGGGGTCGCCTCCTTGAGCCGTTTCTCCTCTCTTCTTCCCTGTC